CAGTTTCATTTAGAAAAGCCCTCAGTGCTCCAAGTGAGATCTCCCACTGGGAATGTTGGTTAAACAGTTATGATGACTAATAAATGTAATATTTTATTGTTTCCAGAAAGTTCCTAATTATGGCTGTCATCACTGAAAATAAACACATTCAGGACCTCCTGAACATTGTGATAAAGCCTTCTGTCCAAGCATGGGAAATATTTTTTTTTAGTAATTTGCTACCAAATGTGGCAACATGTGAAACTGTCCTTCAGTCTACTTCTCTGGGTCTTCTGCTTCATTAAAAAAAAAAAATATTGCCAAATAGGTTATCCCCCAATAATATAAAGTTTTCAGATATTTCCACATTTGAAGTCTCACCTGTTGAGGGTACATCAGAATATCCCAAGGACTTCAGCAATTTTATTAATGAAGTTTTGATATGCAGGCATATAATTGGCCAAGAGATTTTTGGGAGTAAATAAGCAATTTTGGTTTTACACTCAAACATGTATTTTCTTTGAATCAGTTTGTTTCCATGAAGTTATATTTGCTCCTTAAATTTTTCTTTTATATATATACTTGCCCGTTGAGTAGAACACATTATATAAGAAATCCCACTAATTTGAATTTCACCCTTTGTTATACAACTTGTTTGTGGGAACTACACTTCAAATGTCACTAGGGTGAGACTCTACTTTGGATATGAGAATTCATTGACTCCAAAGCAAAAAGAAACACCTAGAGTAGTAAACAACCTTTGTGTCTAGAAAATAAATACTGGTTCAAGCTGGATGCCAAATAGAGGACTAGTGCCCAGTTTTGGATTAAATTTTCTCACTGTTTCCTTTTAGCTCTGGTCTACCAGAGGAAAGATTTACCAGAAAGCCATTCTTTACACAGCCATGTTAGTAATGCTCACAGAAGCAGAATAGCAGATTCCAAATCTGATGACCTGCTTTTATTTGTAAGAATTAACCAAAGTTCATCATGCATCTCCCAGTTGCACTTAACATCTGAATATTATGTGGACTTTAAGGTCACATGTTATATTGCAAAATGCCCAGTGAAACATAATCATAAATAAAATGGAACTTTTCACTCAGCTTCACAGCAGGAGTAGCAGGTAAGGAATTTTCCCATCTTCATCAAACCATATAAAATCCAAGGCAAAATCCAGCCACTCCACACACATAAGCATATTTCATTGCAGAAAACAGGACATAAGTCCTGCTGGTAAAGACAGTGGAAAGGGGCAGACTTTCAGTGGAGCCACAGCACCCAATGGCAGACACCAGTCTTTCCAAAAGCCACTTTCTTCTATATCATGACTGGCCCCCTCAAAACCTAGATTCCTTACACATTTAAAAATAAGTGAGCATTTGCATTGTTATCGCTGCAAAATAAGGAATTCAATAAAGATCGAAGAGAATGGCATAGACAATTAATTTATCAAAACCATCATAAGAATAAACTTTAAAGTAGACTATCAAATGGTTGTAGATATCCCAGAAAAAATGTTCTTAATTTCTTTCTTTAATGACTGAATCCAGATCACAATTTTATGCTTGTTCTGTTGCAGTTGGTGGCAGAACAGGCACTTTAAAGGGAAAGGAAGCTTCTTTTATTTTTGGTTTAAGTGTAGTGGTGCCATCAATATTTGCAAAGAAAAAAATAAATCTAAGTTTGAATACTGACTGACTAGAATGATTGTGGTTCACTTTCAACTCAAACTTGTATGTCTGAGTTAGCTTTTTATACTGTACTATCATTAAGCATTAATTTTAAATTTTTATGTATTCTGCTTAGGTACGAATCAGGAAAAAAGAAAGATTGGATCATGTAAAACTCACTTATTACTGTAATAACAATTATTAATACCATTTGGAGTGCAGGATAAGTATATGAAACACTCATCTATACAGCTATCTGGAATGTACGCTATGTCCCATTGATACTGTAAGTTAAGTAAGCCAGCAGCAAGCTCCTAAGCAAGACATGATGATAACATTTCATGTAACTCCTCTTTGGCAATACTTAGACACTGCAACTGAATACCAAACAGGGTCACGTGTGCCAGTCAGTTACTGCAAGAAAGAATACGTGATGAACTGTTTGTTTTGAACTATCAGTATAAACACATTGCAGAAATGAAACCCAAGCTTAAACAATGGGGAAAGTTATCCGGTATTAAAATAAACAGTTCTAGGAAAATCTCTAAAAATGTTTACCAAGTCATCTTCTTCCGCGTAGTTTCTGCACAGAACGTTTTGCCATGTCCCTGGTTTCTCAACCAACCCCAGTTACACTGACTATAGATATGCAAATACTAATGGACAAGGCTGGGCCTTAATTGCCTATAATTGGCACCCCAAGCAAGGGCATTTTTATCTGCAGTCAAGCTTGTAGGTCATCAAAGAAGCAATTTGGTTTTAAGCATAAAAAAATATTGCCTGTTTTACAAAAAAATATTTGTTTTCCTTCTAGAAATCTGAGAGTTTATATATGGAAGGAAAAAAAAATGAAATTAAAATACTAGAGATTTAAGCAAACCATGATACTTACAAACTTTCGTAATAAATATTTTTCTAATATCACAGGATAACAATTCAAAAATAATTTACTTTGCCAAACATTGTCTACATACAGTTTTATTGAAGGTTATTGAAATTTCATTGAAATTTACTACCTGAAGTAATAAACATATTTCCTTTGTGTAAGTTAGAGTATATCTCAAATTCTTAAACTTCATTTCTGATTATAACTATTCTCTTCGAGTCCTAGACCTATAACCATTAAATATTCTTTACTTCATTCACAGCAGGTGCATTGTAAAATGCTGTTTAGTGTAGCTAATTTAGGGGGGAAAATAAATGCAGAGTATGAAAACGAGATGTGAGATATCTACATAATATATTCATTACACTTAGGCATTATGCATGTTTTGAAAGGAAATGAGTTATGGCTGAGATGCTTTGTAATGGCAACAGCAACAAAGCAAATTCAGTATTCAGAGATGCTATAAAGGATCTGCATCAGCCTCATTTGTTCAGAGTGAGCCATACTCCATCACACAGAGAAACAGGTCCTTTCATTCCAAGGAAAACTGACACATGGGGATACGTGCACAATCCCAGTTTTATGCAAACCCCTGGAGCAGAGGGCTGGGGGCTGGGAGGGAAAGAAGGAGGGGGATAGTTCTTCTTGTAGCCAGTTTTACAATCATTGCAGGAGAAAACAGTCCTCAAATATAAACCCCTTTCACTGGGCTTCCTACCTGTTTAATCACTTCCCTCCAAAGTGTGAAAGGACTAACCCTCAGACATTCACACTCCAGAGACTCATATTTCCTCATGTTCAGTTCACAGTGAAACAGTGATCTTAGTTCAGTCTCTAGTGGACAAACACAGAATAAGTAAAGTCTTAGAAGCATGATTCAGCAGGCAATTTGCTCAAGAAAAATCATGTGTACATAAACACAGAAAACATCTTTCCTCTTTTTAGTGCTTGTCTCAGCCTCTCAAAGCACAGTAAAATAATTTCTTAAGAAATGTTTTCTTCTACAAAAGACATCCCCTCATTTCCAGCCTTATACTCCCCAAAACAGACCAAAATATTAAAAAATGAGGGAAGTAGTCTAAAAATGCTTGGTTATATTTTCTTTTATAGTCATATGCTTACTTCACAGAATCTTCTCTCTCTTGCTAAATCCAGATATTCAAGAGCACAACTAATTTACTAAGTAATCAAGAAATCCTCTGTAAAGATTTTAGTAGAGTTAGGGGAATTGGGGTGGTTGTATGTGCTTTTAAACATACTTCTGTCTTGTACACTGTCAGGATGAAACAAAACTTGTAAATGAGATAGGTAACAGTAACTGTGCTAATATGAAGTTTCAGCCCACCTAGTAGAGTCTTCATCAGAGTTTTATTGATATCCCTTCTTAATATGAACTCGTTTTGGATTTAAATCATTTGTCTCTCAAATGGGTACATACAGAAATTTTCTTATGCCATATTACACAACTAGTTGCATCACTCAATGGTGCAATTTTCTAAGTTTTGCCAGGTCAAAATGGCAGCACATGAATGAAAATATCACAGATAACTACACATGGACTGTTTGTTTATTTATTTTTACTGGTCAGCTATCCCAAAGCATTTTCATTACCAAGGCATGGACAAGATCCTGCAAGGTATGTAGTCTTACACAAGTGACTAATCCTGTTAAGGTGAATGGGGCTGCTCATATGAGTGAAATATTTAAGTCTTTTCAGACTCAAACTCCACTGCATACGTAAAACACTGAAAAGTTCATTAGAGGTTTAGAGCTATTGCGCAAGTTCTTAAAAATAATTGCTTCTACTAAGGTACCACAACACCTTGTAACCCATTTTCCCCTTTTTGGAAATAATGCACATATACACACACAAATTGAAACAGGCTGTTTCAAGACCACTGTAATCTACACAGTTAAAAAAGTTTACTGGGATGTTTTGAAGTGAGAATGCCTATATACTTTCTTCTTTCTTTCCAGCAATTAGCTGGGTAGAATAGTATTACAGGAGCTATTTATGAAGGAGCAAGTATATTCTTAATTCAGTGCCCTTAAATGCTGATTTTTTAAAAAATGCTCCCTTTTGCTGTCAGAGTAGCAGGTATCCTGCATGACATCTGATCTGAATCTGTGAACTATAAGTAGAGCTCATAAGAATACTTAGTAAATTCTGTCAGTAGAGTCTCTGGAGGATTTTTGTGTTCTTTGGCTCATATGCATCCATAATCTCTTGAGAAAAAGTTTTAAAAAGTTGCATCTTTCAGTAAAGTGAAGAAAATTCTGCTACCAAGAGCAATGTCACTAAGAGGGGTGCAACTCTGGCTGGAACATTTCTCTCTTGCACAGCTATGAACCAGATCAGTCCTTATTACCTCTGTTTTCATAGAAACTAATGAAAACTTTTAGCAGCATAAACATGCCCCCAAAAAATCATTTAGTGAGAAATGAAAAAAAGAAACACTTACTTTTTGCAGCCACTGAGTGTAATTTTCCATCACATGTTCCAGATGTTGCAGTTTCTGGGAAGAGAAATCCTGTTCCACGTGAGGAGCATCTCTCTGAAGAGCATTTGTGTTGTACTGGTCTGTTGTGCTTTCACGACAGTTCCCGTCCTGTTCTGGCAGGATGAAAGTATAGGTGCACTGCCCATGCTGAATCCGGTTAAATCTTCTCCCACTGGCTTCTGGACCCCGACGCTGGGTATTACAGCCTATATGAGCAAGAATCGCTGCCAGGAAAGCAAAGGAAAGGAAAACTGACATGTTATTATTACTTTCTTTTCCTGCTTTAAGAAAAACTTTTTCTTCCTCTTTCTTTAAATTTGTTCTTAATCTCCCTTAAAGTCTTTGGAAAAAGGACTGGAGCAGCGCACTTTAAAAATCAGGCTTGGATAAACTGATAGTTTTTTTAATTTCACTGTGAGGATAGCTTCCTTAGTTAAAATTGGGAATATTTATTGCATAGTAGTTAAGATTTATTGTTTCCTCTCTGTTACAGTCCAGCATGTAGCCTGCTTTAGGCAGCTGCATATGCATATCCCAGTCTCTTTCCCCTACACTATCTGCTGCAGAACTGCTATTTTCTCTCAGGCTTCAGTGAGTTTTATTAAGGTTGCACTTTCAAGCCAAGCTGGAAGCAAGCAGCCTTTCACAAGATGACTTGACAGGAATGCGTGTATGAGTGCGCCCCTATGCTAAGGATGGCTGATGGCTCAGTACAGAGGGATCATCTTACAAACTGGCTGGATGCATGACCTCAATCATGCTTGTCTTTCCAGCCCCTACTGCATACAACTGCTGAGGGTTTTTGACGAATTCATGTAAGTTTAATAAGTAAGGCAGTCCACCTTAATACTCTTCATATGTTCACACTGACCTATTAAAATGTAGATAAAGTGTAGAAGTTTGTTGTAATCCCTCTGTAAATATACAAAGCACTGAAATTAAAAATACTTTCAGTTCTGCACTGCTCTATATCTATTAAAGAATTCTAAATCAGGCAAATGACAGTCAAGGGAAAAAAATTACATTTAACCCTCACATGCTTTAGCTACTTTTCTAAGACAATTGTGTTTCTTTAAAAGAGTTTTCAGAGAATTTTTTTACAGCATAAATTGAAATTAGGGCTGCCAAGTAGTAATGGGAAAAGGCAGTTCAGAAAGATAATAATTTTCTGGGTTTGGTGTCTAAACTAAGGTAACTAATTAGAAAACAGTGAGGGATGGCAGCTGAACTAGTCCAGATTGTCTTCTGTACTTCTGCGTAGTTATCACATGCAAAACACTTCTTCCAACCTGGAAGTCTGTATGGGCTATAAGGCACCCCTCAGTATATGTGGTAACTTTCTCTGGGGCAACTTCCTCAGAAAAAGATTGTGCTAACTGCTTAAGAAGCTATCTTATACTTAAACAATGTCTTTGGTATTTGTTAGAGACAAATAAAAAATGCACAAGTTATAAACAAGATTAGAATATTCATGAAATTCAGAGGAATTTGGATCTGAGTTCCTGTACTAGCATTTGTTGTTGTTCCATAAATATCAGCCAACACTAATGCAGAGAACTTTGCACATTTTTTTCCCATGAAAGTAAGCACTCTTCTAAATAGCAATAGTGCATCACTAAAAAAACAATCTGCAAGGTTTTTACCCTCAAAGAAACCTACTTGCAAAAATTCTGAGTGCAAGCACTCTCAGTACTAATACCATTGCCACCTGCATCACAACTAAAATGTCATTCTAAAAGAACTGCCTGGAATATTTCACCCAGGCATCTGACCTGCTCCAAGGGAACCTATTCCTGCTCAAAACTGGGAGTAGAGGTTTTTCATCTTGTATCTGGAAAGAAACTACTGCATTTGAACCAATAAGTAATATCGCCTACAACAAAATAGAGAAATAAGAAATTCTTATCTTGCTCTAAAATGTTTATATATTCTAGAGAGAGAGAGAGAAAAAAAAGGAAAGATACAAAGCAAAAAGCAAAACATCAACATTAGTGTTGCTTTGAGCAATAAAGAATATCCTTCCACCTCTGAACTGTTCAGTCCACCTTAGCACTCTGTTTTTACTTTTTCTGCTTCTGAAAACCAACTTCTTGCAGTTTGCTTTCTTGCTCGCATACAGCACTTCCCAAAACTCACCACCATCACCAGAACTAGTTCTGTGGTTTATTACACTGTCTTCGCAATTATTGTGAAAGTATTTGCAAGATATTTGCTCATCTAAGATCAGAGATGAAAAGAGGAGAAAATTGTAGTATCAGACACTGAGCTGAAGGGTTAGCACAAAAAAAGCTATTCCTTCTGAAGCAAAGCAAAAATACCAGAGCACAAACATGGCAACAATACATGCTTTTCTTATAAGTAAAAAGAGTACTTTATGAAAGGGCCTCAGAGAAACTTAAATGGGGGATAGCAAAGGTTGGTGTACAAAGGCTTCCTAGATTTTTAGTTCATATTTTCAAATATGAGTACACACACAAATGCCTCGTTCATTTTCTGCAGAGTATTTAAGCAACAGATTTATTCACATGCAAATATGGAAAAGTGAGATTGCAAACTTACAATTGATGTTTTTCAGATGAGACAAGACTTCACAGAAGAGCTGGCTCACTTTGTTGCTATTACATGGTCCCTTTCCCCAGCTTGAGGTGACTTATCCCTCCCCTTCCGTCCCCTTCTTCCTGAAGGGTATCAGCCCTTAAGACCTTCAAGACGCATCTAGAGTTGCCAGGCATCTTTGGCACTTGCTCATTTGCCTCCAGCTTAGTTCCCTACCACAGCACCTGCCTCTCAAAGCCAGCCCCCCCAACCCCAGGCCCCAAACTGATGGATCACAGGCCAAACATAATGGTCAGGTGGCACAGCAGGGAGAGAGATGTGGCACAGCCATGCAGCAGTCACAGCATCTCCTACCAACACACTGCACTAAAGTCTTCCTTACTAAAAAGAACCAAGTCCCCTCACCCCTGTAATGTTCTCATCTGTGTTGTAGGAGTAGCGCATCTGAGACATTTTGTGTGCCCAGACTCATAGGGTCTCACGCAGAGGCAAGGAAGGGATGACAGAAGCCTGGTAGAAGCCCAGGAGCCAATCTGTTACTCTGAATTTGCAGCCTTTCTAGCCCACAGGGAGGCACAGAAAGGGACTTATGAATTGTAATGGAATGCATTCCAATATTTTTAAGGCTCTGAGTGACTGCTGAAACAACACCAGCTCTGTTGGCTACATAGAAACTCAGCGAGCTTTGGGGTTGTTCTTGCCAACCCAAGAGTCAGAGCTAGTCACCAGGGTCCCTAACTAGAATCACAGACATTCCCAAACCTAACACAGGGACCAACAAGGTCAGCTTGCTGTTTCCCCAAACGCACAGCAAAGTCATTTTGATAAGCACATTGAACCAACTGGGCTAGGTTCAGTTTACACTCCTCCCTGACACACTCATGGTACCCTGCATATACAGGCAGAAGTGCAACAACCAATACAGAAAAAATCTTATTTCCGGATCTAAGGATTATTCCACTTAATTCCACAGTGTAATTTTATAAGAAATTCCATTTTATCTAAGGAAAACAGGTTCAGAAACAATAAGAGTTTTTATTTACTAAAATTCACTAATCCTATTAAGGTATTTGGTTTTTTTCTTTTTCAAAAACAAACCAACCAAAAAAACAAACAAACTTACCCAAGAGTTTGACATCTTTTACCCAATTTGACAAATGTACAGTTTATTATCCTAGTACCATATGATCTATGCGACATGTCCCAGCTTTTCAAAACCTGAAAATTTCAGTGAGGTGAGGAAAAAAAAGTAGTTCTCACAGTTCAGTCAAAGTCACTTTTGGTATTTCTGCAGCATCTTACATTATATACTACAGATAAAATCTAAATGATTTGCCCAGGATTGCACAGTGGCTCAACCGCAAATTGGGGCATAGATGTGTTTAAAAGGCTCTTTATTTTCCTAAGACCACTTCCTCCATCACAATGACTAGTTTTGTATTCCCTGAACTTTTTCTTCTGTGTAACAGTGTAGGGATGGATCTAGAGGTTTCCTTCCCAGACCATCAAAAGTCTCATACCCGTTCTATATTTAGTAGCTATACAAAACACTGTAGCTCACTATGTAATCAATCCTACAAGGCAAAATAAGTGGGAATTCCACATCCAGATAAAGGTTACATTCACATGATATTAGTTCCTACATATCTCACATTAACGTATTTTAGTGGCTTTTGTTACAGAATCATATGCATGCTTAGAGTTCAAATATAAATTCTAGGAAACCAAAATCTATTTCTGTTACTTTATGTTTCTGCTGCAATGTGTGTTATTGTTGCAAATGAGTTGCAACAATGTTGCATCATGTCACGCACTGTACCTGGAGTTACTCCAACTCAGTTTCCTCCCTTTATAAGGGAAGTCACCGAAGAATGGCTCCTGAGCATAGGTAGAAGAAGCAAGCTTTTCTCTATAGGTAAACCAATGCTATATTAGGATACAAAATATTTAGTCTTAATCAGGCATATTCCAAAGAACGTCATTCTATATATATAAATTCTAGAGAATAAAATGGATCTTAAGTCCCATACTTCTGACTCATTATGTGCTAAGGCTTCTAGACTACTTTAGTGGAAATGGTCCCATTTAATCATACTGCTCAGACCAGAACAGGATGAAAGATATTGACTGACCCTAAAAAATCCAGATGGTATTGAGGGCAGATGAAGAGGAAGACTTACTTACCATGCAATAACACTTTCTCCTACTACCTGTATGCTTTCTTTTCTTACTCTCCTGGGAATAAGCAAATAGTCATTTCAGATAAATTACTCCTCAGGACTGAAGTTTTTATATTCACATGTGCATATTTAAGGTATGACCCACATGGTGTTGCTTGTCAGATCCTTCCTTCAAAGGAATACAATGATGAATACTCAGTCATGCCACAGCCCAGCCCAACCCTCCCAGCATTTGATTTCACACCTGAGAACAAGTAAACAGCTGGGAGCATTAACAGAGCTCATAGAAGCTGCTAAAGCAGCAGCTCTTAGAAGAACATGGTGGTTTATCACAGAAACATCTGAGCTTCTTGTTATGCTGTACAATGTGTCTAAATTTTGTCTCACACAGAGGCTTTATGGTATTCTTTCCAAATATGTTGGCAGCTGAGAGAGTGAGGTGTTTTCTGAAAACTTATTTTCATGCTGTGAGAAAATCAAGTTTTTTCTTATATTCATAACAAATCTTTGAGCTTACGCACGTAGAGACAAAGCACGTAGGATAATTCCATTAAATTTGCTCTCATTCCCTGGGGATGGAGGGGTATTCTGTCTAGGATAATTTTTGTCCTTAAGTTTCACATTTTCAGGATCCTTGATTTATTTTCAAAGACCAACCTCCAACTCTATCGAACAGGAGAGATACACAGTAATGGAACATAGTGGGCATGACGATAAAAACAGATGCCCTAATCTAAAATACCTGATGAGAAGACCAACAACAGTGATCTTGTGCTGTAAATCCTAGACGAAATCAGACAACTACCTGATTTTAAAAGAAAGATCATACAGCTACAAGTGTTTCAGCCCTATCATGTGAAT